TATGTACATGTCTTTGTATTAATTGTGATATTATTTGTTGGTTAAATGTTTGATTTTACTATGCCTTTTTGATGTTGTGATTATTGCTATTATTAGTGGTGATGGTATTGTCATTATTGCCATGCACATCTTAATATCATTTTTGTTTGCTATTCCACGACAGTTATTTTTGTTATTACAATGATTATTCGTATTAAATGAACAATTATTACTACAGTTATGTTTTGGTTTTTCTTGCTGTTATTCCGCGGACATGAGTATCAAGTAATCCTTATTTGGTGGTTTGGATTGGTGGTTTGGATTCGGATTTGAACCCCTGGTCGTTTTTGGAGGGAAGATGCAATCCAACCCACCAACTAGGAAGCTGCTCCTTGAAACCCCTCCTAAGCCATCAAACCACCAATCCAACCCACCGGAAGCTGAGAGTATGTGTAGATTCGCCTGTTGTTTCCCGGGCTTTGCCCTTTCGGCGTTCGGCGTTCGGCGTTCGGCAGGCCAAGGGTCTGCGGGTGGCTGGGGAGCCGCTGGACGTGGGGCCGCTGGTGGCGGTGCTGGACACCGGGACCACAGGAGCGGGCGCGGGCGTCGATCAAAGGGATCGGTTGGGCTGCAGGACTTCCATTTGCTGAAATGAATATTGTTATTTTACTTGTTATTTTCCCTTGGTGGTTTTAAAAGGAGTTTATCACGACTGGACATTGTTTTTTCCAGAGGTCTTAACCAAATGGAAGAGGAATTTCTACAGGAAAGCAGCGCTTAGCAGGTCCCCCAGCTAGGTGCCCTTTCTCACCGTTTCTTTGTTGGTTGGGAGGGTTCCCCTAGTAAAATAGACGTCCTGCCTTATTCTAACCTCTCTACTGAAACACGAGTAGTTGCTATTTTGCTTGGTTGGTTTTCAAGATAATTTGTCACTATTGGCAATATCATCTCATTGTTTCCAGGATGTGGTGATCAATAACTATTCCCTTCGACCCCCAGTTTTGACCATGGATGGCGTATCCCATGTGGAAAATATCATCTTTTTAGTGTTTTTTTTCGCCATGGCGTGTGTCAATTTTGAGGGTACTTTTTTGTTGGTTTCGAAAGGGAACCAAAAGGAGCACCGCCGTTACTCGTAGGGATAATAATAATAACAATAAGAAGCACCGGCACTCTAATGGAATCAATCCCAAGACACGGTCCCTCTAGAAAACGGTTTGGATGTGGTGAATTTGTGGACCCACCCCTGTAGGATATTTCAAGAGAACTAAAATATTACTACAAAAGGACCAACAGGGGAACATTTGCTGAAATCACAAAAAGCGCATTCAAACCGTTTTCTAGACCATGGTGGGTTTCCTTTTGAGAAGCAAACCCGAAGAAAAGGTACTCCTACCATCAAGAAAAGGCACCCCCAAGTCAGTGTGTTAATTGTTTGTATCTCAGGTGGAGGTTTGTTCCTAGGGAATCTCATGCGTGTGAAGCTAGTTACTTATAAGGGCCATTCCCATGTTGCCTGGAACAGGAACGACTTCTCAAATGTTCAAAATGTTCCTCTATTCTGGCTGGTTGGAAGGGAGTCGTTACGGTGCTGGGGGTACCCAAATCTGCTTTGAAAGAGGGAAGGGTTCAAACCTAAGTTTTGTCCATTGCTTTAGGATTCAGTAGTCTTTTGGGTTGTGCGTTTCCTTTCGCTCTCTAATCAGGAGAGACATTCGCACCCCGCTGTCCCCTGACAAGACCCCCTCTACCGTCGGCCGGGGCGGGCGTTGGTTTCCTTGGATTCCTCTATGGAATCTGGGTGACTCCCAGCCATCCACTTAGCCTTTTAGCTTTTTAGTGTGAAGCGGTAGTTTCCATTTGACCCACAAAAAGTCAAACTTTTAGAGGGGGATCTCCCAGAGATTTTTCTATGGAATATCTCACCATTTAGACTCATGTAACCTACCTTGCGGATTCATAGGGGGTGGTTCCGCCGGAATTTGCGACAGATCATGTGCCTGCCTGGCGGGCATGATTGCTCTTTCGACCATGGCTGTGCGCCCCCTCACTAAATAGGTTTCTTTTCAACAGAATGGAGGCACCCATCCCGTGATGCTGAGTAGGGATGGCCAAGAGCAAGGGCTGATCAATCCTGCCGAAACTTTAGGAAACGGGTTCCGCTAAGAATGACTTTTTCTCTGTTCCTTGAATACTAAGCACTGACATAGCCCTTCAAGCGGGTGTTTGACTGAAAGTGTCCAATTCAATCGAGCCACGAGGGACTTGTTTTATTTAACATGGACACCCATGTAGATGAAACTCCTGGTGCAGCCCCCATTTTGGGGTCAATTTGGGGAGTACTTCAATTGAGGCCTTTGCTTTTCTTATCCCACCTGGGATTGTCCTTTTTTGAGGGTGCCCTTCTTTTCTTTTGGTTCTTAATTGTAAACGCTTCGCGTTGCCCGCCTCGGCCCAGCCTAGTTTGAGGGAAGGGTCAGGAACACCGAAATCCAGTGTTGGGAAGGTCCGAATACCTGAAGCTGGCTCCAGACAAGTCAGACAAGCCGGCCTCGCCTGGTTGGGCTGGGCCACAGGCTAGTCTCAGACACATCAGATAAGCCTGCGCTGGGCCTGAAGCTAGTCTCGGGCAGCTTGGCTGGACCTTGCTTGCGTGGGTTGTTGGTTGAGCTGAAGCTAGTTTACGGCGGGCTGGGCAGCCGCACTGAGGGGGCTGGGCTATGGCTGGGCTGGGCCTGAGGCCAGTTTCAGACACGTCAGACAGGCCTGGCCAGCAGGCGGACTGGGCTGGGCTAGACGCTAGTTGAGCCCAGGCTGGTGAGGCCCAGTCTCGGCGCTAGATAGGCTGAGGCCTGCGAGTCTCAAACCGGGTGGGCTTGGGTGGGGTTGGCTTAGGCGGGTTGCTGGTTGGGCTGGGCCTGAAGCTAGTCTCAGCCACGAGGCTGCGAAGCCATGGGTGGTGCTGGGCAGCTGGATTATGGTGTTGGTTGCGCCTGGAACTTCGGCTGGCTGGGCTGAGCTGTGCTTGGGCGGGTCGCTGGATGGGCTGAGGCTGGGTAGCGAGTTGCTGGCTAGGCTGGGCCTGAGGCCAGTCGCAGACACGTAAGACACGCCAGCAGGCGGGCTGAGGGACTGGGCCTGAGGCTAGTCTCAGGCTGGCATACCTTGAGACCAGTCTCAGACTGCGCCGAAGGGGCCTGGGCTGCTGAGTAGCTGGCATAGCTTGAGACCAGTCTCAGTGAGACTGGTCGTTGGCCTGAGGCCAGTCTCAGACATGTTAGACAAACCTGACCTTGGCACACTGGGCTGAGCCTGCTGGTGGGGAGCTGGGGGCCGGTAGTGGCTGGCATGCCCTGAGATGCGCTGGGGCCTGGGCTGGGCAGGCCTGAAGCTAGTCTCAGCCACGAGGCTGCGAAGCCATGGGTGGGTTGCTGGCTGCCGGGCAGCCGGACCAGGCTGCTGGTTGTGCCTGGAACTTGGGCTGGGCGGGCTGGGCTGAGCTGTGCTTGGGCGGGTTGCTGGATGGGCAAGGCCTGTTTCATACACACTTGGGCCTGAGGCTGGGTGGCGAGTTGGCTGGGCTGGGCCTGAGGCCAGTCTCAGGCTGGCGTACTTTGAGACGGGGCTGGGCCTGCTGGATGACTTGGGGCCAGACGCGAGCGGAGGTCAAGGCCTGGCCAGCCTGGGCTGAGTTGCTTGGGCAGCCGGACTGAGGGGCTGGGGCACGTCAGACGGGCTTGGTGGCTGGCATAGCTTGAGACCAGTTTCAGACACGTGAGACTGGGGGATGACTTGGGGTTTCAGACAAGCTTGGGCCTGAGGCTGGGTGGGGCTGACAGGCCTGGCCAGCAGGCGGGTTGCTGGTTGGGCTGGGCCTGAGCCTAGTCTCAGACACGTCAGGCAGGCCTGGCCACCAGGAGGTCATGCTTTTCAGGACAAAAAAGCAATTTTTTAGTGATTTTCGCAATTGTCAGCACATTTTCGACAAAAATGGACCCATGGAGCTGGACGCCGACGAACCCCGAAAATTTCAAGGCCCGCCGGACAGGATTTTGGGTCCAGCCGACATGGGTTGGGGGGGGCGGCCCGGCAAAATTTTGGTCGGGGAGGGGGTTGGGGGAGGGGAAAAGCGAAGATTCTCTTTGGAGAAGAGATCTGAGCGCCCTTGGCCCCTTTGGGGCCGAGGCGAATTTTTAAGGGAAGCCAGACGGACCACCGACGCCATTTTCGGGCTCAAAAAAGACACCCACCGCAACATATTCGCGGCTCGAAGCGAGGCCTGGGGATGCCCTCGGGCCTCTTCGCGCGCTACGACAAGCTGCGGCGGCAGAAGGCCTCCGAGCTGGGCCTGCGGCGCGCGCAGGCGAGTGAGCGAGCGAGCGAGCGAGGAGGTATGTCGTCAGATGGGTGGGGTGGTGGAGCCCCCATTTAGGAGCCAGGGGTTCGAGTGAAATTCGAAACCAATGAAGGGGTACTGTTGACCCCATAATTATGAGTCAACCAAAGAGCTTATGAATAGGTGTGCCTGGGTGAAATGTAGGGGGAAACAGATCACTTTCGGAGGGGAACCCCTCCCCTGTTAACAAACTGGGTTTGATTAATATGGGGTCAACATTAGGTGGCTCGTCCTTTTTGTTTTTGGATTTGCCCACCCTCTTGGGAGCGGCTTGGGAATCCGAAACAAACAAAAAAACACCTTTTGGGGGTTCTCCTGGTGTGACACACTTAGACTCACACATACCGTCAAAATAGGGAACCTCCAACAGTTGGGGGTTCCCCTTCAAGGTGAAGAGGGTACCCTCAAAAAAACAACCACACAGACCCAATGGGTGGGGAACTCCCCCGAAGTAAACCAAAGGGAGAGACCAACCAGTTTCAGGGTTCCGCTGTTTGGAGGCAATGGGAGCAATTGTCCATGAGCTTTGGGCATGATCGATTTTGCCAAGGAGGTGCAGTTACCTTACTTGCCGGTTCTCAGTATCCCTGAAGGAATGGCACCATTGAACGCTAGGTATAGGTTTATTCCCCGATCCTTTCTTGATTCCTTACTGAGAACCAGCAAGCCGAGTTGTTGTTTTTTTTTTTTGGGGGGGGGGGTACTGGTTTCCCTTGAGATGCCCCACTATGTCTACAAGGATTGGGAACCTTCCATGGTGAACAAACCAGGAGGTTAGGTCACATCATGAACACCTGTGGAGGCCGGTTTCTGCTTCATATTTGCATGTTGAAGTTTTCAAACTATCATTGTGTTGTTTGTTGGGGCTGGAACCAAAATACAGGTTCACACATTTCGAACACTTGGAATTTCGGCCAGGTTCAAGGGTCAATATTTGACTCCGGATTCTCGCCTCAGGCAGTGGATATCCTCCTGCAGAAGGAAGACGGTTCTGAGCTCTCGCTCAGCCCGGGGCTGCAGAACTGGGTTCAATGGCTTGCCTCTTGCGGCAAATTGGGCATTTGGTTATAAAGCAGCCAGGATGTTTTTTATCGCTGGTGCGATGGGTAGGGAATGACAATGAATCCGGGTGTTGGGGATGAACCGTTTTGAGGATTCCTGAAGAAGGAACCCCTAGGGGATGGTGTTTACGGGGTCATTATATTTCTCATTCTTTGCTGAGAATCAGCAATGTCCCACGAAGTTGTTGTTTGGGCAAAAGTCTCCAACGGGGAATAGCGTGGGGCTCCTTTTTAGGTTACTTTGACTAGACATAGATGGCACTGGTTTAAATGTGTTTGTTTCATTTACCAGGGCCATCTATGTTACCAAAAGGACGCCTATGCCGAGTAGTCTTCCAAAACCCGTGTGTCAGCTTCTGTGATTGTTGGAGGGAGGTATTTTGCAGGTTTAAAGGAATCAACCGTATCGGGGATCTCTGAAATTGTTATTAGTTTCAATGCTCATTAAATAAGTACTAAATATGCGCCAGACTCAGACATCGATTGTTGGTTGGGTTGGGCAAACCCTGAGGTAGTTGCGCAATCCCCACCTTATTTGTTTGCCCAACTTTGGTCTTGCATGGTGTGTCAAAATAGGGTGCCCCTCCAGAATAAACCAAGTTAAACAAACTATACCCGCAAACGAACGCGCACACACACACACATAAGCGCACACACACACACACACACCCACACACACACACACACCCACACACCCACGCACACACGCACACACGCACACACGCACACACGCACACACGCACACGCACACACGCGCACACGCACACACGCACACACGCACACCACAGACACACGCACACAGGGACACACACACACACAGAGACACGCACACACGCCCTATTGCATCGATCTGCTGGGCGTCAGTGTGGTTTTCCTCCTGGATCTTCCGCGCATGAGCGAGGTCTGCTTCCCGGGCGGCAGTCGGGGTATGGCCAGGACCGCTTTGCAGGGAAGCCCGGAGTACCGAGAAACCAATCAATATAAACAAACAAACAAACAAACAAACAAACAAACATGTATGTATATGTACTGACATGTATATATATATATATATATGGCCGTGATTTTTTGAGGGGTCTGTAGCAGAGCCGCGGCGGACATTCGTTACAGACCTCGTTACAGACCTCTGTAACAAGGCCCGCTGGCTCGTTACACACCCCTCGTTACACACCCTCGTTACACACCTCAGATGAGCAAACCGCTTGGCTGGTTGCATGCCCCTCGCTACATACCTCGTTACAGACCCAACCCCAGCCCGGGCCAGCAACCCGCCTTTTCAACGCAGCGTGGCTTGCGTTGAATAGCTGCGATCAAGCTGGAGCTGCGGAGGCGCGCTTTGCATATTGCACTTTGCTTTGCCTTGTTACAGACCTCGTTCCATAGCCGTTACATAGCAACCCCGGTTTTTACCGCAGCGTGGTTGCGTGGAATAGCTGCGATCAAGCTGGAGCTGCTGAGGCGCGCTTTGCAGACTGCGCTTTGCTTGGCCTCGTTACATAGCCGTCACGTACCTTGTAACTTGTAACAGACCCAACCCCAGGACCCCCCTTTTTGCCATCGCTTGGTTTTGTGTAGGCAGTTGCAAAATTTAAGCCGGGGCTGCGGAGGCGTGCTTTGGGTACTGCGCTTGCACTGAAGAGTTGCGACGCTTGAGCGGGAGCTGCTGCTCTTCGTTGTTCTGCGCTACATTGTGCTACTGATGCTGACACTTGTCAAGACATGTCTTCCCGTTACAGACCTGCGTAACAAGGACCTCCGTTACAGACCTCCGTAACAAGATTCGTGGCGCGTCGCGCGTTTACAGACCCTGAAAAAATCGTAGCCATATATAATATAACAATATATATATATATATATATATATATTTACTACGTAGGCACCTATATATGCGTGTGTGCACGAGGAACATGATGTGGGAGGTAGTCCTGATTGTCACTCGAATGCGTTTAAGGCTGTGGCCAATGGAGCCTCCATAAAGTGAGAAACTAGTCATAAGGAAGGCCCGCTTTGGTATCACATGTTTCCATGACCAGATTCCAGACTACGCGTGTTCAGGTCATACAGCCGCATAGCGTCCATGATTTCGGAATAAATTTCCGCTCCGGGGCCAGCTGATTGCACAGTAAAAAGCTGCATCAAAATGGTAAACCCTGTCCGTTTTGTTCTTTAAGCAGGGCTATCCCAAGGACTTATGAAGGGCTTATCCTTGGCTTATCCTGGGCTTATCCCGGGCTTATCCAGGAACAGCCCCCCCGCCAAAGGGAAACGACCTGCTGGGCAAGGCCGCTGGCTTTGAGAAAGAAAAGACAAAATGCGAACTGCAGCTTCCGGTTTCGCGACAATTTGGCTGAATAGCACGTTGATTTTGATTGGTTCCTACAAGACACCAGGGGATGGATATGGTGACTGTTGTTGGCATGTGTTTTTATGTTTTGTTTTTTGGGTTCTGTTGTTTTTTAGTGGGGGGGCTGCAAAGCCAAGGATTGTAAATATATGTTGTTATATTTCCAGATCCCCTACGTACACCCAGTATTTGATTGGCACAAACTCCTTTTGCCTTCACCGTCTAAGGACATCGTTACTCCCTTGCCGGAGCCGTCTGGCAGGGAGCTCAGGGCGCAATCCTGACGTGGGAGTTAGAGTTGGGCTGTTCATTTCAGCAATCACCATAATTATATATATATATATATACACGCATGTGTGTTTTAAGGTACCTTTTAAAGGGATGGTTTTAACAAGAAGGTTAGATCGTTTCACCGGTGGCAGAGACTGGGTGGCTGGTTTGGTCTGCTGATTGGTTGGAGGGATCCATGGTTGGCCACGGTTTTGGGGTCTTTTGAGGCTCGGTGCCGAGGGTTGACTGGGGTCGGTCGAGACGGGTCAAGCAACTGGTTGCCTATCCAAACCCACTATAGCCGGCTCATGTGCAGGAAAGCGAGGTGCATTTGCGAGGTCTCCTTGTGTGAGCCAGTGCTGTTTAACGAGTAAGTATACCGGAATAAAATTGGATGACCGTTCAATTCTCCGAATTGTCGGGCCTCGGACTCGCTGTTTAGTTTCAACTGGATGGCGGGGTTGGGCGTTATGTTTGCTGGAGTAAGACCATGTTCTGCCTGACAGGGAAAAACTATGATAATAAAGATGTCGAGATGTGTTGTTCTTAAAACAATAACTTGCTGACTTGTTACCACAAGTGGGTTGGTCCATCTCCGGTTTCAGATCCTTTTGAACTGCGCACTTGAAAAAAAGTCTATCCGCAGAAATCGCAGGGTTTCAATCCTCGTTTGCATTCTTTTTGGCGAGGGCCCTATGGCTTTTGCCCCGGCCACAAGTTGACTGCACCAGCAAATGTCTCACCGCACACGTTTGCATAGGTCAATCAAAATGACCGCATAGGGCCAACATGAATAAGGAGTATTACGAGCCCCGCACTCTCGCGCAGGTCTGGAACCTGAAAAGGCGGGGGTCAACTTATCTAAAAACAATGGTCTTGGGGGTTTCATGTCAATCTGCAGGAGTGTATGTTGGCCAAAGCACTGGTTTTGGAGGTTTGCATGCTAATCTACAGGACACATTTGTTGGCCAACACGTGGCTGTACTCTGTTTGGCTCCACCGGACGAGGGGGAGTTTGGGAGGTATGACGGCGGACGCTTCGGCGCTATGGACGGGGGAAGGCCGGAGAGAGCACGCGTCCCGTGGGGCAAGGAGACATGGCCGTGAAACTGGATCCTTTTCGAGTTCCCACTCTAATTAGTGGGGAACTACGGGGGAAACCCTCATGTAAGACAGAGAAAAGCCGGCATCCGGCCCATCATGCCATCGCCGTTTGTGTAATTTGTCAGTCGTATCTTACATTGCAGAAGTTATTAATAGGCGTCTCTCAACTACGATGCATCCTTAGAAGTCTCGTAGCTGGAATCCTATTTTGACCTCCCCCGTTGAAGTCAAAGGACATGCATCATTGGGGCCAACTAAATGCACAAATTCTCCGCTGATCATGAGGACATATTCTCAAATAGTGCCCCGCAAGTTCTGTCAGGCCGTGGGGTTGTGGGGAATAAGCCCCTGATTGAATGGCCCAACAATTGTGGTGTTTGCGTTTCCGTGTGGTCCAACAAGGGGTCCATTTTGCAAAGCCTATTCCCAGCGCAACTGTGCTTGGATGCAAGAATTGCTTTTAGACATTCGAGTTCTTGCTGGTGCTTATTCTAGGCCAATCCCTTCAAAGCCATCGGGAAAAAAAAGACAAAATTGGGGTCCATTGTGAGAAGGCGTTGCAGAATTTCCCAACATTCAACGGGCATGTCGCCTTTTTGGGCCAACACGTCTCCCCGTTGTTGGTTTTTTTTCCTCAAGCGGAGGCCATATAGGCGCCAAGCCCATGCAGCTGAGCAACCGCGGCTTAGTGGCCGAGGCTGGAAGTTGACCAATCCATTGAGTGACGAGGAAAGGCGACAAACCAGCACACTCCAAGGGTTATCAATTGGTACCCAAAATGGCTCAAGGGCTCTTCAGGTACAAATGGACCACCCTTGGAGGGTGCTGGAAGGAGGAAAGGGTGTTGGACTTTAGTCATAGTGCACTTTCGTTCCTGGACTTGAGTCACTTTGGAAAGAGCCTCCTTAAGTGGTTGAAACAACAAGAGTTTGGTTGTTTTGCGTTGTCGTCGATCCGCTCCGGAAGTGAGGAATGAGGAGTGATTGGCAGAATGGAAAGGCTGGGGTTTGCCCAAACCACAATACCAGGGGGACGGCCACAGTTTCTCACGCGGGTGTGTCAGTTTTTTAGAGGTCTTCCCAACATGCTGGTGTTCCCCTTTGACTTCCCTGTACACTCAAACCAAACGGGGATACCGAGCCTCAGCAAGAAATGACACACCCATGTCCGGCTGGGGAAGCAGTGTAGTTCTGTGCAGGGCTCATGTGAGGCTCGGTCAAGTATCTACGGTGGAGCTCGCTCTGAATTCCTCACAAAGACGGGGAAAACTCGCACATGGGTGGCTCGTCATTTTTTGGGGTACCCCCCAACATGATTGGGCAAACATTGTTCCTTTTGGTTTCCCCTTCAATCCCGCCAAAAGGGGGGTACCCTCCAAAAAGCTGACACACAAACAACGGGGGTCTGGAAAAGCAAGACTGCCGAGTTGGCGTCTTTTTTGGGTCAATAGAAGTATACCCAGGACAGCCACTTCCCTTTGGGTCAATATACCCAGGACACACCGCCACTTTCGACTTCTTTGGGATCGATCTGATCTTTGACCGAACACATACTGATAATGTCGCATAGAACTGGGCAAGCTCTCGCGTTTTTTCGGATCAACGAGCTTGAGCCATGAAGCTCCCGCTTACCCGGTCAGGTCTGATTTTCGGTTTGGGGATTAAACCCATTTGCCCAGATATTCTCTCTTAGCCCATTTTAGTGGTTAAGTTAACAAGTTTGCACCTGTTTTGGCCAGTCCACGGACTCCATGTTAGTGGTAAACAACAAGTTTGGACCTGTTTTGGCCAGTCCACTCAGGAAGTGAGTATTGCAAGGGTCGCTGAGCGCAGGCGCCTGGCAACGGCGTTGGCTGGGCACAGGCCGACAGGCCGGCATCGAAGCTGAAGTGGTCAACGTCATCCGCCTGCCCCTTTGTTTTTTTTGGATCGTCTTAGGATTTGTGGGATTGTTGCCCTTTGTTGTTATTTTAGGATTGTCTCAATAGTCTTTAGCATCGTCTTTGACAATTTGAAGTTGCTTGTACTTGTTGTTGCCTTCAAGGTCAACCCAGGGAAACATGATGTTTCTGCGTTCCTCGAGCACTTTTGCCTGCGTCCGGAAAAGGGGTGGTGAGAGGGGCCCAGGCCGTTTCTTTTCGGAGTTTTGCAGGCTGATTCGAGGTTGGTCGGAGTTTCCCCGCAGAAGCAGAGTCCCTTGGTCCTTGACTGGAAAGAAAACAATCGACCTGTCAGCATTCCAACGTGCTGTTGTTGCCTATCTTTGTTTAGCGGTCCCAACAATTTGTTGCTCTTTTAGATGAACATGGAGCCCAAAGCTCCATAGAGGCATGTCCTTGTTGGGGGGGTTGCCAAATTGCAGGGGAGCAGCTTGTTTCTATCGGCTCTTTGCCCTGCTCACACGCCTTGGTGGCCGACGCACGCGTCGGCACGTCGGCAGGCCTTTGAGTCAAGGCGATCGATTTCTGGCGCCGCGCTCAGGGCCCAGGAGTTGAGTGAACTGGGCACGAATAGGTCGAAAGTGGCGCTGGGCCCTGGGTGGCGTGTTTTTTAGGGAGGGAGCTCCTTAAGGTGAACATGTTGAGGGACTGTCAACAGTACTTTTGGGGGAGGTGTGCCTTCAAACCACCATGTCCAGGTAATTTTGATGTCTTGCTAAGATGCGCCCAGTTCCCCTAAGTCACAGAAGGGCACTGCTTGTTCTCATGGCCAGGAGGATCCCCAACTGCACTTATCCCCACCGCAAGGGTAGGCCAACCTGTCAAAGGGCTCTTCCGCTTGTCGAGTTTTGAAACGGCCCCCCCAAAAGGACGAAGAAGAAAAGCACTCGCTTTCAGCATGCTTTCAGCGGCAGATGTCATCAAGCCACTCAGACGGTCATATAACACTGGCGGCACTGGTCTAGAAGGATGCCGTTCTGGCTCGGATTTTGGCTGTTTGCGCTATGCTTTCCAAGCGCAATGGTAGGTTGAGCATTCGTTGTGAGTTTTTGCGGAAAACCACTGCTAAGGTTTGTCTTTCGCCCCCTTTTGGAGAAAAGAGGATCTTCTGCACGTGTAGAGCCCCTCTAGACAAAGCTTGATCTACTTCATCAAAAGGTTGTTTCCTCAAACTCCCTGTCAAGGTCATCTAAAGGGGATGCTTTTTTTGAGACATAGCTGGACAGACCTGGAATCTGCTCCAGAATTCCCGAGCTTTTGTTCTAAGAGTCCCTGACCTGATACCCATGACCTTCAGGTAAAGGCCAGCGCCACTCAGCGGCGTTTCTAAGGTGAGGCTGTTGCCTTCCAAAGGCCAGGGTCGTTTTTGTTTTGTTTTGTTGTTTGGGGGGGGGGGGAGGGGGTGGCTGGATTTTCGATGCAATGTTCAGGCCGCTTGGGAAAACCAAGAGGAGCACCACCCTTGAAGCTGCGATCAAGAAGGGGAGGCCTGAAAGCTATTTTTAACGACCCTTTTATTGGTTTGACCTGAATTGTGGGCCTGTGTCTGCCCCAAAGAGGGAGTCCTCACCACCCCAACAAGTTGCAGAAGGACCAGGCGACCAATTTGGGTGTGGCTTAAAAAGAAGGAGCTAGGGTTACGCGGGTTTTAGTCTTTGCCATTTACCCAGGTGAGCCACAATCGAAACCTGGGTAAGTGAAGGTTAGTAAGGGACGATCCCAGCCATAAATAGCTGCGGCCGCCTTAGTACATGGTTCTGGGTCGACCATTTTAACACCGGGTTTTGATTATGAATCAGGTGCCATTTTGGGTACCTATGCTTGACCAACAACCATATATGTCCTGGTGCCATTTTGGTAGGGACGATCCCAGCCATAAATACCTGCGGATATCCGCCTTCTTGAAGCATGGTTCTGGGTCGACCATTTTAACACCGGGTTTTGATTATGACTCAGGTGCCTTTTTGGGTACCTATTCTTGACCCACAGTCATATATGTCCAGTGATAGCTTACCTTCAAACCAGGGAATATCATTTGCTGGTGCCATTTTGGTTGGATTGCACAGGGCTCCTTTAAAAGATACATTTTGCCCATTTGACACATGTGTTTTTTTTCCACCACAATACAGGGGAGCCACCATTTACAAGGCAATGTTCAGGTGTATAATGTAAGGCTCGATGTTGCATTTGAATATAACTTGCTGTTCTGGAAATCCAATGCAGGGAATATAAATGCGATCCGATCCCTTGCAACCATTTTGGTTTGGCATTTCTGGAGCCACAGCCGCGAAGAGGCTCCCGCCGCGCCTTCGCTGGCGCCAGGCCGTGGCCAAAGTGCCGCGTGCAGCGGGTGGCTTGGTCTGGCGCCGCGGGGCGCCTGCCTGCAAGGGGAGGACGCGCGCGCGAGCGCCGGGCCCTTCCGAGTCTAGCTCACGCGGTGGGTCCAAAATGCGTAGCCAAAATGGCTTGCCCTGGTCAAGGGAAAAGGCGCCAAAACCTGCGGTCCATATCCTGGTGGGGTTTTGCCCCATAGCCAAATTCTGAGTTGTTGGACTTGGCACGTTTTGGGTTTGGGCGCCTTTTGGGTGAGCTCACTTTCTAGGGCTTGATTCCGGCCGCTTTCTCCGGTCCGGAGGTGTCGGAAAGGATCCCTAGAGTCCTGTGTTGGACTTGAGTCGCTTTTTGGGTTTGGAGCATTTTCGTGGTAAACCCAAAATTCTGACTTTTGTTGGGCCATCTACTCAGAAAGTGAGTGAAAGGGGCGAATAGTTTACTCATGCTTGATCAAATCATGACAGTTCTTTGGTTTTTACGTTCCCCACAACCCCATTCTATACATCAGGGGCACCCCGCAAACGTGTGGTTTTCCTTTTGGTGTCCGCGTATGTTGAGCCACCCCAGAATGGGTACCCAAAACACACACACACATTATTATTATTATTATTATTATTATTATTATTATTATTATTATTTATTTTCAGGGCTGCCTGTATTTCCCTTTAAGCTAGCTTAAACGTCATGTTTTTGACCAATAGCCGCGCTTCATTTTGGTGAGGCGATGTTTCAGGGAGTAGGAATATTTTCCAGAGAACTGCCTCTGTAATGTGAACCAAATGGAATAGCTTCCCGCATGTGTAATGACCCCGGACAAATAAGCCCCTGTTTTTTTTGGGGGCCCCCCTCCCCATTTTGTTTTAGTATTTTGGGGTTCTCATTAATCCCACGTGCTTCGAAACGCTGGACGCTGTATCTTTGGGGTGACCGTTTGGACTGGGGACGAGAATTCCCTGGCTGTACCTCCCCTACCCCCCCCCCCCCCCATACTTCCCAGGAGGGGCATCAGGGGCCCCAAGAGCGTCCCCTGCCCTTGAGATGTAGCTAGGTCCCGCAGTAGTGCCCTTTTACCCTTTTTTTGGGGAAGGTTCCCCTACTAAAATAGACTACAGAAAAAAGGGTCCCTTCTTCCAACCTCTCTACTGGAGGACCTAGGTAGAAAAGAAGGCCTCAGCACGCGCTCACCCCAAACCCTTGCGTTGCATCTAGGAGGACACCTCCGCCTACGGTGGTTGGGCCTCGGAAGGCTGGGCTCAAGAATCCGTCTCTGCGCCTCATGTTCTTTGGCGGCCTGCTGTCTTTTGGTCGGTTCCCTTGTTTGCTTGCTCGTCTTTTTTGTTGGGGGGTCCCTCTAGGTGTCCTTCTCACAGATTCCAAAACAAATGACCAAACAGTAGATAAACCATGATCCCTTGATGCAATGGCATTATGAACAAGCTCGTGTTCTAGAGATGTAGTAGCACTATAGAGACATACATGTATGCACAAAGCAATCAACAAAAAAATGGAAGATAGAATGCGCCAGACAACATCCTATATATGCGGGTGCTATATATATATATATACATATAATCCCTGGTCTTTGTTTCGCATCGTCTGTGTTGCTTTTTTTCGACGGGCTTGAGCTTAAGTCATCGATTGAGCTACATTTTTGGGGGGGGCACTTTGCCATCAACTCGCAGAGGAAAGTCGGGGGATCCCCCCCAATTCTTTAGGCCAATGAGGTGTTGATTCGCATTCCTTCCATTCGCATTCCTTCGACTCCGGGGGCTTTGGAGCAGGCAAGCTCCGAGCCGGCGAGCCTTGGAGAAACGGAGCGGGGAGAGCAGTGGCGTCGGCGTGGGGCGCGTCGGTTCTTTTTTTTTTCGGTTTCAGTGGGTCCTTAGATGGCTTTGTGGTGCCCACCATCCGGTTCCTTAGATGGCTTTGGTGTTTTTTTGTTTGTTGTTTGGAGTTGGTTTAGTGGCTGGGTTTCCGTTGAACCCACGAAAAGTGAAGCTTTTGTCAGATCTGACGACATCCCAGGTGGGTATTTCTCAGAACAGGGGGCTCCCTTATTGGATGGTTTTGAGAGGAACCCAGAAGGAAACCAAGCACCTGAAGGGATTCCTAGTTGTGAGAAAGACCCACATGACCTGCCAACCACGAACGAAACACAACAAATAACTGAGGTACCGGTTTGGGGTGGAGACCCTTTACCAGGGAAGACGATTTGCACACGTTTCGAAGTGGTCAGAACTTCCATGTGGGTTGGGGGTTGATCCATGTTCCTGGCCCCCACATGCCATGTCCATGGGTTTTTGTTCTCCCACGGGGAATTCTCCTCATCTTCGTGGTCATCCGTGACGGTCATCCCGGTCCATGGGCATCCAGGAACGTGAGATTGGGGTGTCAAAAAGACGGTTGCCCTTCCAGGTCCCCCAGCTTGCCCGTTCTCGCCGCTTCTTTTTTGGTTGGGAGGGTTCCCCTAAACTAGACTGGAGAAAAAAGTTGGCGCCCTTATTCTGACCTTTGAAATCTGGAGGACCTAGCCTTGGCCAGGAACTTCGCAGCATGTCGTGAGGGGTCCAACCAGAAGCCCAATTTGACGGCGGCGTGCCGAGGATTTGATTGAATGCCGCCTGGCAGATGACGGCTCTGGCACAGTCTTTTGGCGCGTGAACGGTGGTCAGGCCAGCAAGGGACGGGACTGCAGATTCTGTTGTTGCTTGGAACCCTATGTTTGAGACACGTCCATTCGTGTGTTTGTACCATTACCCTCTTTCCAACAGTCATGGACTTTTGCAGCAGGGTTTGACAAACACCTGGTGACAAAAACCCTTGTCCACTTTCCATCAATGTTGGACACGTATGTGAAAACTGGGCAACCGCAACAAAGGGAACCCCCGCTTAGCTCCAGTGCATGCCGGGCACCCGCAGAGAGAACATGTTTAGCGGCTGATCGGGCCCCTTTCGCATGAGTGCTGCACGTGTCTCAGCCTCGGAGTCCGCACTTTACACGGTCTCAATGGCACAAGGCAGTGGCATCAATCCCGGCAACGCGGGACTCAATCCCGCCAACCATAAAGCAGTACTGAAGATAAGTAAGCCAAATGTTTGCCTTCAGCTCCCTTTTTGTCGAAAGATCAGGGTTCAACAAAGAGTTGGACGACTTTTGCGGTTGCCAAGCCACTTTGAGAACAGTTCCCGGTCGCAGAAATCGGTTCGGAGAAATCGGTTCGGATATCCGTCCGTTGATACCTATGGTTTTGGGTCCACTAAACCACGGCAGGGTTTATGCCCGGTCCCACTGGATTTGGCGTCGATCGCCTCAAGGCGATCACGTCCAAAGAGCCCCTGGCCACTGCGCGCATGGTCTACCCCACCGTGGCACCTCGCCCGATCTCCGCGAGCGCACGCGCGCGCGCGAGCATGCGCGTGGATGGTGTGAGTGTCTTTGTCGAGTTACCATCGGAGGCGACTAATTTGATTGCGCCCTTCAACAACAAGTAGCCGTTGCTTTTTGTTGAACGTTATCAATTTAGTCCCCTCTGATGGGTGATGCTGCGACGTTTTTGTTTTTCACTTTGGGAATGGCGGGGGGAGATTTAATCCTGGTGGTTGGGGGGCTGCGCTTGGTTCTCCACAGGGAGATGTGTTTAAGTATGGGGGTTCCAAAGCTAGCCCCACCTTTGAACAGGGCAAAAGTTTCCGTTTGCTTCCTGGACGCCAGAGCTCAGTAGTTGGAGAACATCGGGCCCTCCTTGTTGTTTCCCCATGTCGAGATTGCATGTAGTCGTCCTTTCAAGGAAGCAAATGAGTGAGTGAAACCCTTTTGGCTTCCAAGACTGGTACATTCTGTTCTTGGGCCTGTTTAAGCCGTCGTTATCATTGTTGAAACAACCACCTGTGGGTTTCCCTTTTGCAGACGACCAGGACCTAGTTGTTTAAACGCATTTTGCCTGGGGGTAGTACTCTGAACAATTGGGTTTCTCTTTGGCTCCTAGCTGGTAGTTTCCAGAAGTTTCCCTGCGTTTCCCTTCTTGAAAGCGGACGACTTCAAAGAAGATACCCCACTTGGGTGGGTTAACTGGTGTAACTGGTGGTTCCTCTTGTAAGCACGGCTATAACCTACGCAGCAAGTAGCCAAGTGAGTAGTCGGGGACCCCTGCAAAAGGGTGGTGGACATAAATCTCAATGTAAATGATGTCCACAGGGTGTCCACCACAAAGAGTATTCATGGTTATAACCTTATCACCTTGGGGTTGATCAATATTCATGGCCCCAAAGTGACTATGAATAGGAACATCATCTTCTGTAGTGGTTTCCCCAATGGTCACTCCACGTATCACGGACCTTTTGATCAACCCCCGACCTATACCTCAATAGCCTAAGTAGTCCAAGTAGCCTTGACCCGGTGTCTTCACAGGATATCCATGGCCTTTCACGCATAGGTATCCTTTTTAGGTTAGTTTGCTTAAAAATGGATGGGTTCCACTGCTTTAGATGGGTTTTTTTCTGCCCCATCTCCCAGGGCCATCGAATTTATTTTTCCAAGAGGCCACCTATGTCCGATCCACTCAGCGTCCCAGCCGCGCCGCGCCGGGCGCCCAGGAACTGGCGGAGGGCTGCGACGTGGAGCTGCTGTCCACGCCCATTCCCAGCCCGCTGGAGCGGGAGCAGTCCATGTCTTGGGCGGCGCCTCCCTCCGAGGCGCGGCGCTTCCCAGCTGACCGTCTGACCGTCTGGGCGTGGGTTTAAGGGCTCTAAGCATGGGTGTCCTTTTTGGTTGTTTTGGTAGAAGAATAGATGGAACGGTTTACCTGGTGGTTAATCATCTACCAGGCCCATCTATTTCCCCACAAAGGACACCTATGGCTCTAAGCCTCAGATTCTTCATGACTTCCATTTGCTGACATGACATGTTGTTGTTATTGTCCTTTCCTGGTTTTAGAGTGGGAGTTTCCCAAGCGCGAATTGCTGGCTTCTGATTTGGGGGAGGTCCGTGATGTGCAGGATGACCATGGGTTGGGAAACCACTCAAAAGATGATAGTTCAACCACGAAATGGGAAGAGTTACCCATGATCAATCATGTATGGTCCGGAGTTGGTGAAATAGGAGACAACCTGAGCATTCGCTTGTTTGTGAAGAGTTTTCCTTTTTTTTTCTGAACGAACCATGGCTTCACCAGACTAAGTGACAAGGGTACTGGTCACACTTATACGTAGTCAAACCAACATTGTGTGTGCTGTTTTGCCTGTTGTCGACATCGCCTTTAAGGCCGACTTAAAGGGAGTTTCCATGTCTTGGGCGGCGCCTTTCTGCGAGGCGCGCGAAAGCCGCGACGGCGCGCGCGTGGGGGGCGCTTCCCAGCTGACCATCTGACCCCGGGCGTTAAGGGCTCTAAGCATGGGTGTCCTTTTTGGTTGTTTTGGTAGAAGAATAGATGGCCCTGGTTTGCCTGGTGGTTTAATCACCTACCAGGGCCTTCCTCCAAAATATCTTCGGTTCTTCTTCTTTGGTTTTTTCCCTTGTGGTGTCCAGTGAAACTGCCACTTTTGAAGGACCCACGAGGGGAAATTGAGGGACCCCTGACAAAAAACTTGCTGCTTCCGTTGATTCCTTGGGGTTGACCTCGTTCCAACTTGGCTCGGGAAAGGGTGGATCTTCGTTTTGAAGGGAAGCCCCGAGGAATGGCTCATAGGTCATAGACCCATTTTCTGGCCAGCAAGTAAAGGGACTGACACTTCCAAGTCCCAGGAAAAAATGAGAAAGTATGTCCAATAGTAGATTCCTTTAAGACTACAAGGGGCAAATAACGCATAGTCTTAAGCACATGGAAATCAAGAAGGGCTTGGTGCTACAGCGTGCAAGAAAGTTCCAAATGTGTCAACCAGGCAGGTTGATTTGCAGGAAGTATTTTGCTAAGGCTGCTAAGGTTTCTTTGAACGCACAATCCAAACAACAAGCAGGGTCCCTGGCCTGGAGGGATAGGTAGCCTGAAAAGGGAAACCAGCGGCAACAAACGCATTCTTACGCTCGGAGCAACCCTGCTGAATTCGTAAGTAGCTCTGATGAGAGGGTTACGACTATTGTTCAGCTTAGAGGAAACTCCCTTTAAGTCGGCCTTAAAGGCGATGTCGACAACAAGCAAAACAGCACACACACACAATGTTGGTTTGACTACTTATGAGTGTGACCAGTACCCCTTGTCACTTAGTCTGGTGAAACCATGATTCGTTCAGAAAAAAAAACAAAAAAACTCTTCCCGGGCCTGAGAATGCTCAGGTTGTCTTCTATTTCACCAACTCCGGACCATACATGATTGATCATGGGTAACTTTTCCCATTTCGTGGTTGAACTATCATCTTTTGAGTGGTTTCCCAACCCATGGTCATCCTGCACATCACGGACCTCCCCCAAATCAGAAGCCAGCAATTCGCGCTTGGGAAACTCCCACTCTAAAACCAGGAAAGGACAATAACAACAACATGTCATGTCAGCAAATGGAAGTCATGAAGAATCTGAGGCTTAGAGCCATAGGTGTCCTTTTTGGGGAAATAGAGGTACCCCTAGAAAAGACAAACCCACCAGTACCATCGCAAAATAGGCTTCCATTTGGTTAAGAAGATGTTTTGTTTTCCCCTGTAGGTTTTAAAATTGGAATCTATTGCTACTGGAAAATATGTTCTCATTTGTTGCAGGGGACGCACACAGCAAACGGAAGTAAAGCGCAACTTGAGTCCAGTGACCTCAACACGTTCCAACAAAATCCCCCCTTCCCCCCCCCCAACAAAAAAAGGGAGTTCCAACAAGTGCCCCCCCCCCAGAAAAAAGGGGAGCCGCTTGAATCGGAACTCCGGTGACCCCGATGTCCGATTTCCGTCCAACGAAAGGAGGCAAAGGACCGGCCCACGCTGGTCTTCCTGGGTCTGGGCTTCCTGCTGGGCAGGAAGATGAGCATCGCAGCTTAGAAGAAGAAGACAGTTCCGTGGGGGGCGGTGTCGAGGTGTTGTTACGCAGTCGCCTTGGTGGCTTGTTTGATACTTAGAACAAGTTCCCTGGGGGCGGTGTGCAGCAGATGCGCGGTCGCTTTGGTGGTTTGTTGTGTTGCTACTTGTGTTGCCTCTGATGTGTTGTGGTTTGTGGTGTGTTCGGCGTGTTTGTTTAGGCGCCTTGTTTTGTTTGCTTGCTGGCATGCTGGCATGGAAAGCTGCGCGGAAAGCCCAGGTATTGCTGTTCGCTGAACCGAGCGACGAAGGTTCCTCCATTGTTCCCAGGCCTAAGGCGTCCGATTCACATTTGGCTTAGCGCAAGATCCGTGCTGCCGGGGTAGAAGCGCAGATCAAATGAAGTGGGCACGCTGTGCTTGGAAGTTTCATAGGGAAACAACTCAAAAGTGGTTCGTGGGCCTGAGTCCACAAATGAATGATGTTCTTCAAAGGGTCCCGCAAAATCCCTCATTTGCATTCGCGGAAGCATCTAGTAAGATCCTGTTGGAGAGGATTTGCATTTCCATGATTGGAGGGATGTAAGGAGGTTCAGCCATATGCAAGGTTTCTCTTTAACAACCAGCCAAAGGCATTTTGCGCAGACCACTTCTGCCATTGGCAAGGGGGGGCAGCTTGTGGCAAGGACCCTTGATTCAAAACTCAGCAATGAACAGCTCGGAGGTATGTGTTGCAGAAGCATGGATGTGTTGCACTGTGCTGGGCTTGCGGGTCCCCCATATGTCCAGTTTGAACATCAACTTTTGGAGCCAGTTGCAGTTGCCTTGTGGGGTGATGGTTAAAGGGGAAGTATAGGGGGGCCACCTTGGGACCCCTGTGGCTGTGCAACTTTTTGGGCGCGCAAAAGAAAGCACCAAGGACACCGTTGCGAATCGAGTTATCTTCACATGAAGCGTCGGGCGCTGAGAAGGTTTTGACCTGCCCGGAGGTGTCATATCTTCGGGTAGAAAATATGAACAGATTCTGAGTATGACCCCCCAAATTTGGTCGGTTTTCCAAGGGTTCCCTTTTGAAACCAAAGCCAAAAAGGGGTACAAACCAAACCAGGCACCAGCGGGTGCTTGATTTTGCTCCGGCCCAGTTCAAATCAACGCCGGCGCCCCCCAAGCCAGGATCCCTTGATCTGCCAAGGCCATTGGTCTGTGTGCAGCACCCCTTGCGTCGTGCTTTTCTCACGCCCCCACAAGCAGGATCGCAGGAAGGGTCGTCGTGACCCCTGGAATTCCATGTTTCCCACATGTCCCACAGAGCACTGGATCAAGAGAACTGGGGCGCGATCAAAGGATTGCTCTTTAAAGGTTAGCAGCACCTCAGGTCACTTCGTCGGAGCGCGCCTAGCGAGCTCAAAACCGTGCGGGTTGGCGCGTGTTTTGGTCTGCCGGATCGAGTTCTCAGAAGTTTTGCCTGGTTCCCCCTGGTCAGCAACAACTACCCGTCCATTTGATTAAGAATATGCTTGTTATTCCCCTTCTTCGATGTAACGGGAATCTATCACTATTGGAAGTAAGTTATTTTGTCCTGGGAACTTAATCAAATGAAGGTACAAGTTGTTGGTTTGCGAGGGTTCTAAGTGTGGCTGAGGAAAGCATCACAGCTTTGCATTGAACATGTGTGCGTTGCAGCTGGCAGGCGTACACGAAAAAGAATACTTGGGACGGATCCAAAACGTGTTGAGCTTCAGCATGTAAAAGCATGTGAGTGAATCGAGCTCATGGCAATGTTACAACGTTTGTCCGAGTGTGTTCTCGGTTTTGCCATGAGGACTAGGAGTACCCGACGAGTCCTGCCTATTGGAAGTGTATGGTCCCCTTCCGTTGAACACCAGGGATAGCGGACCAACTATGCGCCCATCCCTTTTGGAAGTGTTTGTTTTTCCTTTGCAGCCAGTAGCCATCGCCTCAGGCTCATGCTGCTGCGCGAGACTCAGCCATTGAGCAACGAAGAATTATGCAAGTAAGTGGATCCGTCTTTAGAAAACTGACATGGTCCATGGATATATATATATATATATATGAATATATATATATATATTATATATACCACTATTTAGCAGCCATCCACCAAAGGGGCTCATTTCCTACCTAAAAAAGCATCACCATCTCACCCCAGCAGCTTACCCACCAACCAGCCAATCATCACACCCGACCCGGCAACCAGCCCATCATCCAACCATGCACCCTACAACTCGTGCACCAAACATGCTTGGTCCAACTACCCTTTCGGTGGCAAGCTAATGCTTTGATACCGCTCTAAGCTTATGCTAAGGTACCACTCCAAGGTTTGTTTTCGCCAACAGACTCCACGTGTTTCAAAACCCTTCCTCGCTCAGGATGTCAGCCAGCGGAAGTTCCAGGACTTCCATGGTTGAGCCCCATTTTCGCCGGGGATTTCAGCCACAGCCACCCAAAGCGGACTTCTTCCCAGGGAAGATACCAGGGAAGCCACGAGCCCATGTGCCCCGCTGGCCGCGTAGCCCCGCGCCGCAAGCGGCATGGCGCGCCCGGGAATTCGGCGCGCGGCCAGCGGGGTCTCCTCGGCGGCAGCCTCGTTGCTGGGCGCAGGCGCAGGACACAGCGCGACTCACGCGCTGAGGTTGTGTCCTGCTTTGGGGACCCCTTGTTGGGGTCAACATCACTTAGCCCGCCAGGGAACCACCGGTGTTTGTCCGTGTTTCCATTTTATTTTTGGTAGCTTCGCTGTTGTTGGCAGGTGTTTGTATTGGTTCTGCGCATGGTTGGTGCGGGGGGGTTTTCAATAAAAGGGTCTGTTGCAAGCCCATACCAAGAGTTGTAAAGGGATGTGTCTTTTTTTTGGGGACCCCATTTTGGTAGGTTTTTAAAGGGAAGCCAAAAGGAAACCAACCGTTTTCGAGGCCCCCATTTTTGGAACAGCCTTAACCTAAATCGGGGTTGGTCAAATCCCAGACCTGCAGCTTCCATGTAGTTGAAACGAATATGTTCTTTATTTTTCCTTTAAGGAATTTATCACTACTGGAATATGTTTTGTTTTTCCAGGGGACTCTTTTGCAAATGGACGCCAGTGATACCCGTTAGTCCTTTGTTCCTAGTCAAACAGGGGTCTTAAAATTGGACGCGGGGGGGGTCCCCTTTGGATGTTTTGCGCGGAACTGGCCAGTTTTCGAATTCTCCTATTTTGGGCCGCCCCTGTAAGGACACAACTATTTTGAATGAAGTGGCGTACTCTCAAACCAAACTACATCGTGATGTTAGGGCAAGGTGTGCAATCAGTTCGCCCCTTGGCTGCTCCTTGCAAACTGCAGTTCCATTCCAGATCCGAGTCACACGTTCGGAACCAACAGCAAGCCATCAGAGATCTCTATCCCCAAACAATATGGTCCTGTGTCGAAACCAGGCGCCTCGGCGTGCTTGAAAGTCAAGTCCCGTTCTACCAGCTATGTATCCCATGATCATGGGACCAACATGCTGGGGCCACTGTTTTGAGACACACTCAATCATTTGCCGGGTCATGATTTTGACTGTTTCTGGGGGTCATCAAGGTCAGAAACTGTGGTGGTTTCCCTTGACCACTGAAAGGATGACTTTGGTAGCGGTAACCTAGTGGAGCCAGATGTGGCCCCTTTGACTCTTGACCTGAGCTGGATTCAGGAGGCTTGGAGGAGCTCAACGCGCAGCTTTCGGACGGGATGCAGGGCTTGGGCTCATGTGCTATGGTCTGTTGAGTCTGTTGTCTTTCGGGTAAAGTCTAAGCCGCAGGGCCTTCCTTCACTGGACGAGAGGCTCAAATGTTCAGGTCCGGATCAGAGGTCCGGGTTTATGAGGCCCCACAAGCGATGCAGACCAAAACGATCCAGACCGATCACGCAGATCCAGACTCACAGCGGAACGAGCCGTAGCCATATTTGTCTCTTGTGGTCTGTCGCCCTTACTAAAGGGGGAACCAGCAAGGGACCCCCTCAAAGCGCAGCAGCCCAGCCCCTTTCTCCCCAAGAAGCAGGTTAGTCCTGGTATTATTGTTTTTCTCGGGGTCCTTTTTGAAGGGGCTCCTCTTTATGCCTAAGACCCTGCTCATCGAAGATCTCAAAAGGGCGACCGGACCCACGCACCCTGTAGGACGACGCTGTGGGCTGGGCGTTGCTGCGCTGGGAGGTAGGGTCCGGCACCTTTGTGCGCTCCAAGCTCGCCCCTCGGACGGTCGAGTCGAACCGGCCTGTAACGACTTGGTTCTTGGACCTCGGCTTTTTTTGATGTTTCCCTGTCTGGTGGCTTTCAGATTACAACATCACTTTTGTTTGCAATTTTGTTGTCAGATGCCTCAAAGGGTGATGTTCAACGGGGGAAGGGTATGTATGTTGGCACAGCGAGAAAGGTTCCAAGCCAACCACGGCCAGACCCACAGTTGGGCCACTGCACTTGACCGTGTGCTGTTTGTTTTGTGTTGGTTTTCCGGACACAATATGTTTGGGACGTGGCTCTCGCCGCTTGCCGTGTTGTTTCGTTGCTGCTCAGAGTGAAATGTAGGCAAACACATGTGCTCAGACTGTGCAAAAATCGCACCTTGAGGTCTTCAAAATTAGTTCGTATTGGGTAGACTACATATGAAGCATTTGACCGCAGTATCTTGCTGGTGTTCAGCAGGTAACCAGCAGGGGTTTTGGGATGAACGTAGGCATCTTAAAGGAAACCACCAGTTGGATGGTTTTCGAACTCCTTCCCGATCGAAGCAAGTTATTCATAGCGTGCCCCAGCCTTAACCCTTTATGAGTGGTTTGGATTTGTGGTTTGGACATTTTGAACCCTGGTTCTTGTTCAGGGCAACTGGGATACTGTCGTTACTAGTTACCCAACTACCACCAATCCAAACTCAGAAGCAAGCTTCCATTGCTGAAATGAATATGTTTGCTATTTCCCTTTGGTCTTGAAGTCGGAATCTATCACTACTGGACATATGTTCTCATTTTCCAGGGGACCAACAAAGCAAATGCAAGTGGTGCTCAGATTCTGGCTCAGAGATTAGGTCTTCTCCTCGGCTGGAACTAACTATGAAGGCTTCTGAAGGCATATTATGAATTTTACACGAACATATTCTCACATCTTGTGGTGGGAAATATGAAGGGATTCTGAGTTTGGCTTATTTTCTTTTTTCGGAGTATGACACCACTCCAAACTCCGAAAGGGGCAGCTGACCCTGCCGCTGACCCTTGGGCCGTCGGTACTTCGGCCCTCGCAAGGTAGCGATCCACTTCAACGGGGAGGACGTGCCCGTGGTGCGCCGGGGCCGCCTCAACGCGCGCTCCGGCGAGGTCATGGCCATGCTCGGAGAGGCGGTTTGCCGAGGGTTCACCGACGTGGACTTGGAGCTGGGGACGATGGAAGTGAGGCCAAAAACCACCAGAATGACTTTAGACCATGGAAATGTAAAAGCCTGGGAGCGTCTAGGATGGTTCAAAAGACTGTATTGGAAAAACAACTGCCAGAGAGGGAGCTATACAAGGAGCTGACCAGTTCTGCAAGCACTTGGTAGCTTGGATTCATTGCAAGAAGAAACTTGTTTTCTTTTGTAAGCTTTGCCTTTTTGGTTTTTAGCCATCATGTATGGTTCTTTTGGGTGTTCCATCATTTCTCCTTTTTGACCAGCGAACAGTTCAGTTTGTGCAGCTGGTCAAGGATGGTTTCCAGGCCCCAGTCTGTTTTGTTATACCCTTAGTGGCTAATATGAGAAGTGAGTTGTATATCAAATCATGGGGGTAGTTTCGGGAGATCTTCGCATTTGCTTTCCCTCGGGCGATTCCGTGGAAGGACCCCAAAGGGGAACACGACTTTCCGCCATGAAGGGGTACTTGGCACTTCCATATCGCCATTCGGACAGTCGCTCCATGGACAGTCGCGAGGGAGCGGTGCGACTGCTGGCAGATTGCTGGCAGGTTCTACTTGGTGTTTGGTTCACGGAAGTGGCAGCTTCTTGACTCTTCTGCTTGGGGGCTGTGCTGGCTTTGGCCAACCGAATTGGGGCTTATCTTTTGGGGCACAAACAAAAGGCGGAACTAAAAGGGAGTACCCAAAAAAAATCAAACGCATGACACGAATCAGGGCGGAAAGCCGGGGCCACCAATCGGGACTGTTCTCTGCCAATCTTCGTTCTCCAGCAACGTCCCCCGACAATGGGATCGCATTTGGGTGAAATGTATGAATTCGCAACTGTGTGAGTTGGTCTAAGGGCCACGCAATAAGGGACGCTTGATGGTTTTTCAGCCGCAAACGGCGAGGTCGCGCTTTCACGGCGGGGTGATTTCTTTCCTCGTTTTGTGATTTTTGCCAAACTTTGCCCGTTGCGCGGCCGTTTTTCGCGCCACCAAAAAAAATCCTTCGCGCCCCAAAAAACACGTTTTCCCCCCCCCCCCCCCCCGGACCCCTTCAAGTCCCAGCGCTTTCCTCATGGTTTTGCGAGGCCCACGCAACGCTGGAAGTGAAGCGCAAGGAGGTGCGATACGTTCCGCGCGGCGGAGGTTGCTTTGCAAAAAACGTGCCGGCAAATTTGAAGGGGATCCATGTTATTTTGTTTTGTTTGTTTCTTCTTTTTTTCTGATCATTGAATTGAACCTCAACATATAAACAAAACAAAGACAGGCAATGCCAAATAGATGGGGTCACAAGTACACTCTGTCGGCATCCATTGAGAATGTTACCCACTGCCCAACATGTAAATGCAGAGGGGGCTTCTTGTACGAGAAGGTAGCCTTCTGTCAGCTTCCTCTGTGTCACTCCGGGTTTAGTTCTTCGAAGCAGGAGCTGGTTCTAGTAGGCCCAGCACGGGATGCGCCACCTTTTGGAGCGTGGCAGAGTCTGGCAGAGCATGCTTAAGGTGGTTGTTTAGCAACACCTTTTCTCATTTGTTAAAAGAAATTGAGCCCTTGTTGGGAAGCTTAGTTAGTGTCCGGGACCGATGCTGCTTTTGTTTGTTGGGTTCGGAACCCGCCAAAACTGGAGTTGGGCCGAACAGGTTCCTTTTTCTGCGCTTATTTAAACAGACTCCTTTGGGTGGCCCTTTGTGTGCCAAATCCACTTGCAAGGTGGTTATTTGGGTGATTCTTCCTTCAGGGGACGGTTCAGTTTCAAGACAATTATCACAGGGGTCCCTACATGTCCCTCTTTGGTGTGTTGAGCATTGCCTTTCTGGCCCATTTAAGGCAAGTTTCCCTTGGTAGGGGTGACGTTGGTGATGTTGTAAGTGGAACAAAATGATGCTTTTGTTGACAAGTATTACGCAGCCTTTTTATGTACATGAGAACGCTTAGAAGTAGTTTGGTGTGTCGGACGTTACATACTGTCACTGAGAACCATCATACCTTTTTGAGTGTGTAGATCTTGCCACCGGCTTAGGCGAGCATGTGTTTTGCCTTTAAGTGCGGATCTTTCCACTGGCTTGCTTGCGCAAAACTGTGGCTTTGTGAGTACATGCTGCGTGTGCCAGGATCTTCACCTGGACTTTGTGTGCGAGCGTTTGATGAACGTTACAGTCCCAGCAGCCAGATGACATGCGGGCAGAGGACGCCCTTGGGTCACTATGTTTCCCAGGTAGAAGGATTCAGCTTCTCAGGTATCCCTTCGTTGGTTTGGATTTTTGACCAGCAACTTCCCATCCTTCCCTGTTGGTTTTAAAGGGAATCTGTCATTACTGGCTATATATTTTTTGTTTAAATGTTTTCCAGGGGTCTTGAGCAAACGGAAGAATCCAAGCCACCAATGGGAGAGAGGCTGAGTCGTGGACCGAGCCGCGGGTTCCTCGCACGACTCGGTCTCTCAGGTCCTCACTTCCGACGCCATGGAGAAGTCCATGTCCGCCGAGGCGATAGGATCCAAGAGGTTCACTTTGTTGCATGTTGCTTGGCTGTTACTTTAACTTTTTGCCAACTCATTGGGTTTTCCGTATTAAACCACTAGGAGTTATTCGCTTTTAGCAGGGGAGCAGAAAGCAGCCGAGTTCAAGGCAGTTGCCCCATGCCCCCCAGATCAACTTGGAACCCGAAAAGCCGGATGCGTAGAGGAGACTTTTCTCTTGGGATCCCTTCTTTGGGTTCTATGCTAACTTGGCAAAACATATCTGCGATTTTAGGAAATGGGATATCAAGGAGTTAGGACATGGGATTTTTGAGGTTGCCACTTGTGATTTAGGTTGGACCCTCGTGTTACTCCCTTGTATCAAAAAAGAAAGAGGCGCCAGGGTCCAAGTTGGGGACCTTTGGTTTCTGAACAACCTTTATTTAAAGAAGCTTTGAATACCCCTTGCGAACTGCACATGGGCGTTGAGTCTGGGGTCAATTGAATTGGACGACTTGAAAGCGAAATCCCAGAAAGCAAGTGAGTTGCGCGTTTCAGGAGTCAATGGGGGGGGTGGGGGGTGGGGGAAACAGCTAAAAACCAATCCAAGAAGTCGCAGAAGGAAGGGGGAAACACATTTTGGACCCTACCGAAATGGTTCAAGAAACGAAGTCCAACAAGCAAAAGTGAGCAGTTGCTCACTTTCAGGGGTTTTGTGCGGCCGGCCCAGAGGACATACGGCGAACTAAAGTTCAATAGTTGGAAACACCTCATTTGAGTGGTACATGAAAATCGACAGGAACACATTCTGATGTCCACGAGCCGGTCCGGGACCCCTGAAAGTTCACACCGATTGTCTGAAGCAAGCGCCAAGCATGACTTACTTGCGTGCTTCGCTGCTAGGCCTTGCGGAAAGACTACGAGGCAAAGATCGAGACGCAGAAGCGTAAGGCGATGCAAAGGGCACCGAAACTTCCATTTGCTTCAAACCATGTTGTATTTCCCCCCTTGGTTTGAAGGTAATCTATCACTACGGGTCTTGAGCAAATGGAAGAATCCAAGCCACCAATGGAACTAACAGTTTTGTTCTGGGGACACACAAATGGAGGGAAACAGAGCTGAACTCATCAGCATCGCAAAGGTTGTTGACCGAAGACCCCCATGGGTGTGTCTTTGTTGGAGGGACCCGCCCTAAAATGAATGGTCTTCCTTTAGGTTTCCCGTAAAAAGGGGGCTTCCTATCAAAAACAACAAAATAAAAACATGCGAAGGTTCTTTTCCTCAGAACCACGTTGTCCGATTTGGGCTACTTTCGGATCCCTTGCAGATTCGCGCGCAGGTCACGAACAAAGAAAAGAGTTTCCGTGGCCCGCGGACTGCCAAGGCGCAACCGGGGAGGGAACGATGATTGCCTGCCACATCGATACAAACAAGCCAACACACACACACACACACACCCCTCCCCCCCTGCCGGTGCGCAGTTGTTTCTGTTGAATACTCTCCCCGCAGTTGCACAGACCCCCCCCCCTTGGTGTGTAGTTGTTTCTGTTGAATACTCTCCCCGCAGTTGCACAGACCCCCCCCCCCCCGGTGTGCAGTTGTTTCTGTTGAATACTCTCCCCGCAGTTGCACAGGACCCCCCCCCCTGTCCGGTGTGCAGTTGTTTCTGTTGAATACTCTCCCCGCAGTTGCACAGACCCCCCCCCCCCCGGTGTGCAGTTTTTTCTGTTGAATACTCTCCGCGCAGTTGCACAGACCCCCCCCCCCCCCGGGTGTGCAGTTGTTTCTGTTGAATGCTCTCCCCGCAACAGAGGTTCTGTGAAGCAGAGGGCAGTCGCCGAGTTCGCGTGAGGACAATCCATCGAAGCAGATCAGTGTGGACCGTGCGCTGCAAGCTGTGGGGGATGCCACAGGGCAAGGGACTCAGCGCTTGCAGTCGGCGAAGAGACATGGATGCGACATGTATATGTGTGTTCAGATGTATATATGTGGTTGCCATTGTTTTCAATGTTGTTTGCATCTGCAGTTCGGAGTCGTGGTGGTAGTTATAGTAGTAATTAGTGGTAGTAGTGGTAGTAGTGGTAGTAGTGGTAGTAGTGGTAGTAGTGGTAGTAGTGGTAGTAGTGGTAGTAGTGGTAGTAGTGGTGGAGATGCACGTCCCCTTAAACGTCTTCATTTGTGATCCAAGCACGTGCCCAGCCGTCCACTGCAGCAATTATTGGACATCTTGCCCCGGGCCTTGCGGAGAAGCACTTGCATCCCAGCAGATCCTTCCGTTTTATTATTTTGGACGACTGAAGCCGGTCCTTTCCCCCAGCTGTCTTGAAAATAGTCCTTTTTCCACTTGATGTGTTTGATATTTCTGCATTTGTTCCCTCCCATACTGTCCTCACCACCACAAGAAGCCATAGGAAGCCACACAAAAGCCAAAGGGAGACCATAGTAAACCACAACACAAACCAAAAAAAGCATAGAACAACCATAGAACAACCAAAAAAAAGAACAACCATAGGGAAACCACCAAAACCCACCAAGTGGTTGGCATTTGAGGCCCTACAACTGGGCGCTGCTGGAGCCAGAGAAGCTCGAACTCCACAACGCGGGCTACGGGGGCCTCCTGGAGCCCGGGCCTCGCGGCTTTTCGCGGTCGCGGCTTTTCGCGCGGCTTCGCTGGGCAAAAAAAACCGCCAAGCCACGGGGTTCTCCAAAAAAAGACTATAGAAAAGACTTGGTACCCTTATTCGAACCTCTCTACTGGAGGGCCTAGATGGGGTTCTCCAAGCAACGCGACGGCAAACATCCACCAAACATCGAAAATGGGGGCCCCTCCCCCCAAAAACAAGGGCGACATGACCCACCACGAATGGGGTTTTCCCCCAAAGTGTGCGACATACCCACATGGACCCCCTTGCCTGGCACTCAGTTGGTCCCAATGCGAAACCTGGAGAGGCCTTGGCGGCCTTGGGACACTCTTTCCTAAGTTTTGGTCCATGTTTCGTCACCCCAAAAAGGTGATCACCTTGAATTTCCCAGGCAAGTGAGGGTTTCTCGGGGACGTATCTGGAATGCAAGAAAGAGACCACTGCCCTGGGAAAGGAGTGGCACCAAAACTCAAATTGCGAATGCATTCATCAGGCCAAATGCACGCCAAACACGATTGATTCCAATAGCAATTCTCTCCTGCCAAGTTTGTCTGCGAGTGGTGCGAAACAGTCTGCAAAAGCATCAATTCAACTCCTCGGCCCACAGGACATGGCAACCTTGGCCCTTGGCAGTGAGCCTCACACCGCACACAACAAGCGCAGTGATGTGAATCCCCCGGCAAACACATCAGCAATCGAGCATCACCGCTGCTATTTAACCCCTACGTCAACCTGCCGTGGAAAGAAACCGTGCAAACACCAAAAATCAAATCCGACACTGAGTCAGTCCTCCATCCCAACTGCCTTGGCGGCCCCAGCCTGCTGTGATGCGTATCAATGTGCCCCCCCCAAAAACAAACACACACTAATCCCCACCCAGCACTCCCCAGCACGATGGGAAGACAAGCGCAGGCACAGCCGAATGACAGACCAACAGACAGACAGGCAGGTAGACAGGCAAGCAGGCAGACAAACAAAGACAGACAGACACGCGCACACACACACACAAACTCACAGACACAGACACGCACACACACAGACACAGACACAGACACAGACACAGACACAGACACAGACACACGCAGACACAGACACAGACAGAGACACAGACACACACACACAGAGAGACAAAGAGAGAGAGAGAGAGAGAGAGAAAGAGAGAGAGAGAGAGACACACAAAAGGAGCAATTGTTTGTGGTGGTATGTTTTTCCTCACTCCCAAGCGAATCGACTGGATCTGAACACCCTGTTGGCCTATTGTCAAAGTTCCAAACGGTTCACCTTTTATTTCCGGGCGCTTTGGGGTGAGTCAATTTACGGGGGTTTCAAGGTTTCCCTTTTCGGATTTGAAGAGCGCCTTATGGTTATCAATTTAATGTGGGTTCCTTTTGAAAGTGGAAGCATAGGGAACCCAGCTGCACTTGTTCCAACTGTTTGGTTTTTGTTGCGGGGGGGGAGAACCGTTTTAAAAATCAAATACGAAAAAGAGTGCTATGCTTTCTCCATGGGCACTGGAGGTTTGGGATTTTGTGCGCCTGAAACATATGGGGAATTTGGAGGGTATGTCAGTCACGTTGCAACACCAGGGCCAGGACGAAGCCTCGCGGAGGTGGTGCAATCGCCAGTGCTTCTGCTTGACCGTACATTTGAGCCTTTTCACCGTGCCGCTTCCTTCGCCCCAAACCTTCCCTCGCTTCAGACTTTGCGCTGAGGATGAAGGAGTGGCTTTCTGAGGACCTGGTCCTCTTCGGAGTCATGCGCCACTTGGCCTCAATTCCGGGCGTGTCTTTCTTTCTTTTTTTTGGTATCGGACCCCTCAAAAAATAGCTCTGTTTTTTTGGGGGCCACCCATATGTCATCCAAAATTACCGGAATTGGAATCAAAGGGAAACAAACAAGGAAGCCCAGAACATTTGGGTGCCCCCACCCAAAAACAAAGCAGTAGGCGAAATTCCCAAACGCCCAAAGAAGCCGCCGAATCGCGCGGTTGGGATGCCAGGCTTCACCTTCGGCCGGGACACGGTGAGTTCCATGGAGGGCATGGCTGCCACCCCGAAGCTTGTGAAGTGCCCCAATCGCTTCGGGGGATCTCGTCACAGGGATCCGAATGGCAAGGCAGCCTTCCGCTGACATGGAATCCACCAAAAAGCTCCTAAAGGGAATCAGATAGTCTTCCAGAACCCCCCAGCCAGATTCCATGTGGATTGGAGGGCCCCTCCCATGCCATGTCCCTTCAAATGAATTGTCCAACCGTGGCGATCGTTTCAATTCAGAAAACACCAGTCAATTGATCAACTGTTGGCAGGGGGCACATTCAGTGACTGCAGAGAGGTCCACCGAGCTTCGACGCCACACATGGTTTGAGAGGTCCACCCAAGTGGAGATTGACCAGAAGGTCCCGGACACGTGGGGTGACCAGTGGTTGGAGAGCCACTAAGATGTGTGTTTTTTTCCCAGAAAAAGTTACCCTTGGTCCTTTGGGGGTCGGGAATATTGATCACCCCCAGCGGGCACGTTTTTGCGAGATTGCCGCCCGAGTGCTAGGGGGCATGCAGGTGACGGCGCGGGCACACTTTTGCAAGATTGACGGTAGGGTGCCAGGGGGGTGCTGTTTTGGGATGCTTTGTTGGGGTGCTGTTTGAGGTGCTGGTGATGGTGCGGGCGCATTTGTGTGAGATTGATCGCCAATGAGAGTCAAGGGGCCCTTCAAGCGGATGTTGTTCTGACTAGAAACCCGAGATTTGAATAAACCCCTGGCTGATTAATAGGGATGTGTTCGGGTGGATTCGTCACTTTGGGAGGGGAACACCCCCTATAAATAGGATGGTTTTTTTAACAAACAAATACAATAACATAATAATATTTTAGGATTAACATTGGGGCCATTAAGCGCATGTGTTTACCACGTTCACTTGTGTGCACATGTCGCATGTCACTGATGTTGGACAGCCACACAAGATAACTTGGGCATCGATTGCAAAGTGAAATCCAAATAGAGGAGTTCTGGGTTGTCAGCAAGAGTCTGCCCTGTTTTCCTTCACGCCAAACTGAAAAGCTTCCAAGGGCTACTGAGCAGGGGCACACCTTTTCCACCAAAATCCTGGCAGCTTGCATGATGGAGCCTGAGGAATAGGGTATTGCAACTGACAGTTTTCTGTTTGCCAAGAACAGCGTTCATTCAGCTGCATTCCCAATGTTTGATGCCAGTTGACTGGGCATATAAGTCCATCCATGGATTGCTGCCTTGGACGGCAGTACAGTGCGCATTCTAGAGGGATCCCTATGTTGCCATTTTTGGCGGCTTAAGCCTTACCTGCTTTTTTTGGTGAAGGAGAAATATCGGGATTCCTCCAGGCAAGGCACATGTCGAAACTTGGAATGGGATCGTCTTGCTTTTTGCCGGCATCGCCGTTGAGGTACATATTCGTGCACTGGGTTGGGCACTCGTTCACCCGTTGGAGGGATCCGAATGCGGACGCTTGAGTCAAAGGCGACGCCAGGTGCCCCTTCCGCGCGGCTAACCTCAAACAGGCAGCCCTGAATAGGAAGCCTTCCACACCACTTCCACACTCATCCGAGAAAACGTCTCCCTGGTTATGGGAGCACGGGAGATGGGAGGCTTCTTCAAGTGAATTGCCCGCTTCCGTGTGCGTTCAGACTGGTTTATTTCCCCCTGGTTTTAAAGGGAATCTGGCACTACTGGACATATATATATATATATATACATATTTTGATGTTCCAGGGGGCCTAAAGCAAATGGAGGCCTGTCTTAGGGGTTACCTGAAGAGGTAATTGCTGGAACGTCTCGGATTTGCGCCCGTTGATGCAAACGCCTTGCAAATCCATCAGGAAAACAACATGATGGAGCCAGGCAAGTAACCGCAGATGTGTTCTGGGTTTTCTACAGCACCAGCACCGTTGGTGATGAAGGCTTCTTGGTTCTTGTAGAACCTTGTTCGGATGTGTGAATTCCACCATCATGCTAATTTTTAAGGGGCACATTTGTCAACAAGTGGGGTTCAAACAAAGATTTCTCAACAAGCTCAGTTTTCCAAAAAGAACCGTTCGCCTCCCGTGGTCCATTTCAGTCATTGCCCCACAAGGTTAACCTTTTACTTCCAGGTGCTTTCTGCAAGCGAGCCAAT